GGAAATTAAACATTAAGTGTTTCAGCAGAAACGACCTGAACCACAGGAGGGAGGAAAAGGTTACACAGGATGTTTATTTGTGTTTCTAGCATAATGGGTGTACCGGGCCACCCAACGGGGGGAATATTTTGCTCTCTGACTCCTATAAAAAGTGGATTTTTCCACCCAAAAAAGATTTAAATGCTGTTCCCATTCCCGAGCACACCAAATGCTTTTGTAAAGTGATCTTGGCAGAGTGAAGTGACCTAAGAATGCGCAGGCGCAGAACAAGTCAGCCAGGACAGAGACACGGCCATTTTCACTCACCCGCCAGGCCGGGCGGCAGAGCAGAGCATCATGGTAGGTGAATCCACGCCTTCCAGGAGAGTGCTGACTGAAATAGGCCCTTGAGGACTGCATGTCCAACAAATAGGGGCATGTGAGCTCACCAGAGAGACAGGAAGTGAGAAACCACCCCCACGCCGCAATCCCTTCTCCTCCATTCTCCTCTGAGGATTTTGGGCACGCACACACATACACACACACACACACCCTGCCTGAATTTTAAGCTGCCAGGTCCGGGACTCAAACTGCAGTTGGCCATGTGGGAGTCAGAGACATAACAATTATGCCATCTGCTGGTCCCCAAACCTAAGAACTTTCTACAGTGCGTATTTAAAGCTCTGACATTAGACAAAGGCATCTTAGTGATACCGCCCAGTGCAGACAAAATGGGATTTGCCAGCATGTCCCCAACACCAGCAATGCAATGAACTCAGGCTGTCCCGGCACCAGTTTGCAGTTTGTTTTTCGGGGGGTGTGGTGGAGAGTGAGTCATTGGTTCCTTGGCAAAGGGCAAATGGAGATGATGCAGTTTTAATTTTTTTTTAGTGTTTTTGCCATAGGGCACGTGCACTTCCTGGAGAGAGATAGAGAGACCCAGTAAGCAAGAAAGTGAGAAATCACCCCCAAGGGGATGGCCACACCACTATCCCTTCTCCTCCGTTCTCCTCTTGGCACTTTGGACATGCATGCACGCACACCCAGCATGATTTTTAAACCACTGGGTCCAGGACTCGAATAGTGGTCAGTCATGTGGAAGTCCAGCACTTTAATCACCATGCCACCTGCTGGCCCCCAAAGTTGATATCTCACTTTCCCTCTCATTCTCTTTCTCTCTCTGGTGAGTACACATGCCCTAGGGAAGAAAAACATTAAAAAGAAAAGAAAAATAAAAAAGAGAGAAAGAGAAAGAAGAAAAAAGGAAGAGAGAATGAAAGAAAGAAAAGGAGAGAAAGAAGAAAGAAAAAGAAAAAGAAAAAGAAAAGAAAAAAGAAAAACACTCCAGGCATGTGTGCATGCATGCCCAAAATCCTGAGAGGAGAATGGAGGAGAAGGGATTATGGAGTGACCAACCTCCCTGAGGGTACTTCCTTGTCTTTTTGCTTTCCCTCTGTCTGTCTGTCTCTCATACTAGCATATGCACCTCTCGAAAAAACTGTAAAATAAAATAAATAAAATAAAATAAAGAGATTGCTGGGGCAGGCCGGTGGCATGGTGGTTAAGGCACTAGACTCTCACATAGCCTACTGTGGTTTAAGTCCTGGACCTGGCAACTTACTTTCTCAGTTTCCCTTTCTCTCTCTCTCTCATCAAATTAAAGAAAAATAAATAATGACAACAAATAAAATTAAATAAATAATTCTTTTTTAAAAAAAGATTGCTAACACATGTGGACTTTCTAAAAAATAAATAAATGAAATGAAATAAATAAACTAAAAATGATAAGACCATAATTGTGTGTGTTTGTCTGATTTTGTTTTTTGTTTTTGCAATAGAGAGAGAAATAGAGAGACAGAGGGAAAGTAATAAATCCCCCCCCCCCCAGGGAGATGGCCATGCCGCAGTCCCTTCTCCTCCATTCTCCTTGCAGGGTTTTGAGCACTCGTGCACACACGTCCAGCATGTTCTCAAGCCACCAGTTCTGGGACTCGAATTGCGCCGTCCACATTGTAGGTATTCAGTGAGCAAAACAAGACTCCAAAAAATAGACAGTCAGAAGATGGGAGAGAAAGGAAGGAAAAGGGAGAAAATGACCAGATGAAACTAAAATTTGAGAAAAATGTAATTAGCCAAAACTGTATAATAGAAATATTCCCTCAGTTTCCTCATGGATAGGGTGGAGACATAGTCATAGCAATCTATAGTAAGAGTACCTCTCTCCGAGGATTATTGTGAGAATTAAATATCCCGATAGATTTGAAGGGCTTAGATCAGAGCCCGGCCCGCTGCAGTGCTAAGGAGTGTTTTGTTATTTTCGGATGCTATCTATACATCACCATGATGAGGCAGTCAGTGAATGTGCCGAGACACACAGGAGAGAAGTAACAAGGGCACCTGAAACTCGGCCTTGATTAGATGATGGGAATATGAGCAATCCTTGTCTGGGAATTTTCCAAACATTGTTGTTGCCATAATTAGAGTTGGAGAGGGAGTGGATAAGTAAACCTCCTCACTGGAAGGCAGGACTTGATCTTCCCCATTAGGGTAAAGGGATATATTTTCCTATCCTATTTCTTGAAAACCATTTCTACATATCACCATCCGTAACTTCCTTTAGTGTTTTATTTCAAAGTGTAATTCACCTCAACATGCTTCCCTTCGTGGGGGAAATACAGTGACCGTACATTTAGAATCTAATGCAGACACTTTATATGACAAAGAAATGTTTTTGAAAACTCCTGCAAAAAGGCATAAAAGTTAAATCACACTTGCAAATTTAACAGACAAATGATTTTTGTTAAAAAAAAAAATGAACGCACATAAAACCAGAGCTGCTGAGCAGTCGAGACAAAGAGTGGCCATCTGTCTGGACGAATCCTACACGGAGTGCATGTCCTCTTGCATGGTCTCGGTGGAGGCACTCGGTCTCGTCCTTTCATAAATCTCAATATATTGGAGGACACCCTTCACCTTTATCTTTGGTTAGAACTGCCACATTTTGCTGGATGTGGCCCAGCCTCTCCAGAGACCAGTCGTGGACATAACATTTGGAAAAGGGCCCTGCTGGATGCCAAGTCGAGAGAAGGATCATTTCCTGAGGCTTTTGTGTTATATTCCCATTTATATAAATCATCATCTCCATTTCAGTAGAAGAGCCAAAACACATCTGACCCTTTTTTCAAGAAACCATTAAATCCTGCAACGCAGAAGGAATGAAAGAGTTAAAGAGGATTGCTCCGCTAGTGGTAGAGCTGGCTGTAGAAGCAGAAAAGTTAAATTATAAATCTCTGGCAAAACACGGTCTTCTCTACGTCATTTTCCTCTGGGACTAGATGAGAAACAGCTGGATGTTTGGATAGAAAAACCACTGGAGAAGCTCGCGTTGTTAGTGACACTTCTCCCAGACCTTCAGGGCTGGCCCCTCGTTCCAGGCTCCGTCCAACTGTCCCCTCCTCAGAGTCTCTTTCCATGACCCTCAACCCATGCCCTCCTCTTGAACTATCACCCTCTTTCTTTATAGCACTCATCATTATTGGGGATTATCTTATTTACCTGGTTATCCTCTCTCTCCCCACCAGTGTGTAGGTGCCCATCATGAGGGTGGTGGCCTTGTCCAACCCCTTACCGTCCGGTCTTGGCACTAAGCAGCACTGGCATGTGGCAGGCACCCGACTAGTATTTGCAGGGTGACTTGAACAGGCATGAATGATTGCTGTGCATTTTTATCTGTGTTTTTCCTTCAGTGTTTCTTTAATGAGTATGGATTTAGTTCATGATAATCAAAATAATATTTGCAAAAAAAAAAAAAAGTCATCCTGATTTCAAACTCCATTTGAAATACTTAGAATATCAGGGGCCAGCAGATGGCCTGGTGGCTAAGGTACTGGATTTCCACATGACCAACCTTGGTTCGAGTCCCAGACGGAGGCTTGAAAATCACACCAGATGCATGTGCATATATGCACAAGATCCTGAGAGGAGAATGGAAGAGAGGGACTTGTGACATGTCCAACCCCCTGGGGGATGATTTCTTCCTTTCTCTCTGTGCCTCTCCAGAGTGAGCACACATACCCTATAGCAAAAAAATCTCTATAGCAAAAAAAGGAAAAAAAAAAAAAAAGAGGAGAAGAAGAAGAAAAAAAATACTTAGAAAATCTAATTAGCATGGGGCATGGTGGTTAAAGGCACTGGACTCCCACATTGACTAAATGTGGTTCCAGTCTCAGACCTGGAGGCTTGCTTTCTCACTTTCCTTCCTTCGATCTCTCTCGCTCTCTCACTCTGTCCCTTTCTGATCAAACTAAAATAAATAAAAATAGTTGAATAAACTAATTCTTGAAAAAAGAAAAAAGAAGTCTAATTAGCGTGGACTCCGATCGGTTGCGGAAGACGAAGCTTTCATCTTACTCATTTCCATGTCTCTGTCATCCACACAGGACCTGGTGGGTCGAAGACCCGCAGCGGATGGAGGGTGTTGTACCTGATGCTACACAACTCACTTTCGTACCTGTGGCCTGTCTCTTCAACAGCAATCCTGTGAAATTAGATTGAAATCCACATTTTACAGACGAACAGAACTGAGGCCCAGTAACTTCCTTACATTAAACACACACACACACGTCCCAAACAAGCTCAAACAAAACGCAGCCTTGCTCGGGAGAGGTGAACAAGCGTCTGCAGGCAGGTCTGCCAGACGCCAGTCGCCTGATCGCTGCTCCTGACACTCTGCCCAATGCCATAGCGCAAAGTCGCTCTTTCAAAATTTGCTTTCGTTTTCTTTTAAAGAATTATTTTATTTATTTATTTATTTAATTTATTTATTAATTTTTAAAGAATTATCTAAGTTATTTCGTTTATTATTTATTTATTCATTTTTTAAGGAAGTTTTTATTTAATTTTATTTATCCACTCATTTATTTGAATTAGACCAGAGAGAGAGAGAGAGAGGGAAAGTGAGAAAGCAAGCCACCAGGTCTGGGACTCAAATTGTAGCACTTTAACCACCATGCCACCTGCTGAAAAATATGGAACCCTCCATGAATTTGCAGGTCAGCCTTGCACAGGGGCCATGCTCATCTTCTCTGTCTCAGTCCCATTTTGGTATATGTGCTGCCGAAGCAAGCACACAAAACTTTCTTTCTTAAGGGGAGCAGAGGAATTGGTGATGTTCTTCTCTTACAGGCCACATGGTCTAATTTAGACTGACTACTGTCATATCAGGGCAAGTCCAGGCACAGAGCAGGTGGCCAACAGATCATTGCTGGTCCGGAAGAAGAAGGGAAGATGGAGGGGAAGAAGAGTGCAAGAAGGCAGGAAGGAAGACAGCTTCTTTAGAGAGCAGAGAAAGGCCAGGGTCCTCAGCCTTACACCAGGAGTCACACAAGAATCAGCCAATCAGCGCCCACCTCTGTGAGAGTCTGGCCTCTTAGGGGTCCCAGATGCCTTCCCTGCAGGGAGCATTTCTGCCATGCCTGCCTTGCCTCTAGGCCCAGCCTGTCCGCTGGCACCAGTGGTCCCTGAAGGAGATTGAGACCCCGGGCTAGGAGGACACTGACCTGTTAGGGATGGAGGGAACAGAGAAACACTGGGATCTGCAGGGAAAACTCCTCGTCCTGCTCCCCCCTCGGCTTCCTTTGTCTCACTAAGAGATACACTTTGGGTCAGCCGGTGTCATGATAGTTAAGGGAGCTGGATCCCTGGGACCAGCAGGTGGTGTGGTGGGTAAAGCGTTGGACACTCCCACATGGCTGACCAGCGTTCAAGTCCCCGGATCTGGTGGCTTGCTTTCTCACTTTCCCTTTCTCTCTCTCTATCTCTGTCTCTCTCTGGTCAAATTAAAAATAAATGAATGAATAAATAAAAATAAATAATTTTTTTTTTTAAAAAGTAGCTGGATCCCATATGGTTGACTGGTCAATTCAAGTCCTGGACTTGGCAGCTTAAAATGTAGACCGGATGCATAAGCATGCATGCCGGAAATCCTGAGAGGAGAATGGACGAGAAGGTAGTGAGGCATGACCATCCTTTCTGGAAAGTTCTTTCTCACTTTCTCCCTCTCTCTCTTTCTCTGGTGAGTGCATGTGTCCTGAGGCAAATAAATAAATAAATATTCACTTTAAGACCAGATTCCAGGGCCAACCCCATGGCCTGCTGGTTAACAGAGCCAGATCTTGCGTGGCCATTTGCAGCTGGAGTCCCGGCTCCATTGGCCTGAAAAACACACTACACATGTGCATGCATCCAAATGGAGTCGAGACATGGAAGAGAAAGGGTTAAGGCAGCGACCATGCCCCACCAAGGGGCACTTTCCCCCTCTCCCTCTCTCTCTGTCTCTGTGTCTCTCTGGCAAGCACATGCATCCTCTGGAAAATCAGGGGGTGGGAGGGAGGCAAGAAACAGACTCCAAAAATTCTTGTCTGACTTTTTAAACTTAGAGCAGAGATGGGTTCAGTGGGGGGGGGCGAGGGGGGAGCAGATGGGGATGCGGGGAGTAAGAAACTTCTTTCTCTGAGGATTGTGAACATCTTCAAATGTGAAAACCATCTCCCATCTCCTTTGATGCCTTAGGCAAAAACAGCTCATTTGAAGCAACATAAAATTCATGGTTTACCTGCGTGTTTTCTGTCTCGGCTCAACCAGATCGTCCATCCCTGTTTCATGTCATTGCTCTGGAGCCAGCCTGCCACAATGCTGGGCACAAAGGAGACATGTCGTCCTATTTGCTAATTTCGGCATTCTACACATATTCGTTGAATGGAGGTCTATGATCCCTTATTCTCCATTTCAAACTCCAAAAAGCTCTGAAACCTGAAAGACTTCCTGTGAACAAGCAGCAAGCTCTTTGAACAAGAATCCTGGCCTGACAGACGCAAGGCTGTGTCCTACCTATGATCTCCCTTAATGAGAATACACGCATGCTGCATGCTCTGCCTGATTTATAGCAGGCGAGCACACACGTCTGATTCTGGGACACCACTCCAGACTCCGTGGGGGTGTTGTGTAACCTAGTGACATGCGTCATACGACCTTTCTCAAGTCCGAATTCCCTAAACACTTGGCCCCCACAGGCTTCCAGGAGGGGTTCTGGGAGCGTATCTGCTCATATCGGGCATCATCAGTGCTGGGAATACTGAGCTTGAATAAAGTCATCAAGGTCTTTGCTCTCATGCAATTTCCTTCTCAGCTCACAAGACAATGACAAGAAAGCAAATAAATAATTCCTGAGAGAGACGTGTGTTCAGAAGCACAGGAGAATGGATAAAGATGTGACAAGATGTCAGAGAAACCGTCTCTGAGACACCCCAACGAAGAGAAGGAAGCTGCTATTGCGGGTCTGAGCTCAGAACACCCTGACTGATTCATTCATGGCCCTCCTGTCTCAGGACCTTCGCACTTGCCCTCTCTTCTGCCTGAAGAAGCCAGCCACCCTGCATTCCTGAGTCTTGGTTTTGCTCAGGACTCACACCCACGAAGTGGCAGGGCCAGAATAAAAATCAAAACTTTCCAAGACCGACACCATGGCATGGGGTTAAGGGCTGTGCACAGAAAACCAGATCCCACTCGATCAACCATGGTTTGAACCCCAGTCCCGCTGGCTTGAAATACACCACAGACACATGAGCATGCATGTCACAAATCCTGAAGGCATGGAGAGGCGGAGAAAAAGGATTGCAGCATGTCCATGCCCATTAGGGGATGCTCTCTCACTGTCTCTCTCTGGCCAAGGCACAAACAATTAAAAAAAAGAGAGAGAGAGAGAGAGCGGGGGAAACAGGCCTTCTTGAAGAGACCATCATGGCTCCTGTGATCTAGCCATTTTGGGGGAAACAGAGAAATGAAGATTTCCCACTGATAATTCGGCCTCCAGCACACAAAACGCGTGATTGAACTTCCAAGTTTGGGAAGAAACCGACCATCAACCAGATGAGTAGAAATCGCTGCAGGACCACAAAAGAAATATGGGGAAGCAGGAAAATACCTCTCCTCCAAGGGAAAGGGATAACTCCTCTTCCTCCACACACAGTTCAATGGAAATCATGGAAATGTCTGATAAAGAATT